TGTCAACATGGTCAAGGAACGGCTTCCATCAGAAGAGTACTGTACATGGAGAGGCTGATAGCTGGGTCCACGGTGGCCGCAAGGAAGTATCTCCTTATTACGCGCAAAATAATTATTCTTCCACCTGACAGCGAGGACCCACCGGACGGGCCACCATATTTCGCGAAAAAAACGTCCCCCTTGACTGCTGGGACCCACCAGCTACATCTTCGCACGCAAGGAAGTGCGTCCGGGAAAAAAAACGATTCGCCCCCCTGACTGTTGGGACCCACCAGCTACATCTTCGCACGCAAGAAATTGCCTGACAGTCGGGACCCACCTGATCGAAGCATACGTACCGTTTTCATTTTGGTCGCGAATGTGTACGTATATACTAGTCGATGTAGAGGCGTGCACGTGTCATAGTAGAGGCGCGCATGTGTCATAGTAGAGGCGCGCACGTAGCATGTACACGTACGTACATCGGCCAGGGTGCAAAAAAGTAAATACGGCCATGTACGTACATACAGGCGGAGTCTCGAACGCCTACTCACGCATACGTACGGCCAGGGCTCATGTACATGGCTGGGTCGGAATGAAGAAACTGCGTTGTCGTCGTGTTCATGAGGAGCCAACCAGCTGGGTCGGAACGGAATGCGTCGTCGTGTTCATCGGGAGGGCTTGGATGGAACAGCCGATGGGAACAAGGCTCGGCGTGCCGCAGAACGGAGGAAACGACATTGTGTTCGACCGGCCACGTTCGAAACAGGATCCTTTTCATCGGGAGGGGTCTGGCGTACCGCAAAACGGAGGAAACGGACTTGTGTTGGACCTCCTACAGTCGAAACGGGGTTCTGTTGATCGGGAGGGGTGTCGTGTACTGCAAAATGGAGGAAACGGACTTGTGTTGGAGCGCTATGGTCGAAACGGGGGTCCTGTTCATCGGGAGGGGTGTGGCGTACCGCAAAACGGAACTCCACGGGGTGCTGTTCATCTTTACCGTCGACCTCCTCCAGCCTCCATGGGCTACTGTTCATCCACCGTCGACCTCCTCCAGCCTCCACCTACGACTGTTCATCCACGGGCTCCTGTTCATCCAGCCTCCACCGCGCGCTACTCCACCGGCTACTGTTCAACCAGCCCTCTCTAGTGGCTCCTATTCAACCACCCCTCCACGGGCTACTATTCATCCACCCCTCCACTGTCTAATGTTCATCCAGCCCTCCACGGGGTCGTCATGTTCATCCAGCTCTCCACGGGGTCGTGTTCATCCACCCCCAACCGGCTCGATCGGGGTCCTGTTCATCCAGAGGCAATACCACGGGGTCCTGTTCATCCATCCCCACCGGGAACTGTTCATCCACCCCCCCCAACAACACTCACTGTTCATCAAGGGAAGGAGGTAGCAGGGTTCGATCAACTTCAGTTAGCAGCCGTAGCGAAGGAATCACTCGGGTTCAGTAACGTAGCTAGTGCAATCGCTCGGGTTCAACTAGAGCCCAACGCCTCGCTCGGGTTCAGTTAGAGCCCAACGTCTCGCGCACACACGTGTACGTGTATGAGAGAAACGCGCATCGCTCGGCCCCCGACAACCCACCATAACCGGGAACTCCCCGATATTTTCCTCTCCCTCGCTTCTACCACAGTTTTTTCCATCATGGATGGCCCAAAGAATGTCATGCAGCTGCGTCTCCGGCCCGCCCAGGACGAAAAGCGTATTCTTTGTCATGATTTTTTGTCATATAAGTAGGAGCCCATCATATCTATGATGATACCGGGTTTTGTCACAGTTATAGTCATAGAAGTGTCATAAGTATGACAAAAAAATTTTTTGTTCGGTCCAAAATGTCACGGATGTGTCTTTTTTTTGTAGTGTCAATGCCAATTTCGAAGATACCACTTGTTGGACTCACACTCCTAATGTAGAGTGTACTACAAAAAGTGCTTAAAAACTTTTGTGTATAGGAAATTCAAGACAGCGCTTTGGGAAGACAAGTTATTATTTCAGATCAAGAAATTGCTATCCTAAAACGGGTTTGAAAAAACAAAAGCATGCCACCTAGGTTCAAAACTTTTGTGTGGAGGGTTATTAGGAGAGCTGTTACAACTGGACCAAGGGCTTCTAGGTATCCTTATCATATATAAAAAAAGGTTGTAGATATGGTCAAATAGAATCATATTTGCACCTTTTCTTTCAGTGCAATATCTCTAGATCAATTTGGTTTAAAATTGGCCACAAAACTGATATGATGAACTTCAATCTATATCCCGCCGATATCATTCAAATGATCCTATCTTTTCAATAATCGAAGTTTAAGCTAGATTATGTTTTCACTATATGGAACATATGGAAAGCAAGAAATGACCTCCTTTTCAATAAAATAGAATGAAGTCCTATGCAGGTTATGCATGCTATGAAGGCAAATGTTTAATGCATGTTTAATGGAAGAGAAGGAGGAAAATGAGACATCCAATGAAACTAACAATGCTAATCACTCCCAAGTGCAAATATGCATACTCAACTAGTCACCAAGTACACCATATTCATTCAAGCGGCGGACAACAAATGTGCGATCGGTTTTGCAGGCTGAAGCGATGGCTTTAATTCTCGCTGCCTCGGCAACGAAGGCATCTGCCTCCTTCTATTTTGATTGCAATACTTTGGTTGACGTTGCAAAAGCGAGGAATCTTCTTGCTGCCTTTTGTAGTCATATCTTTTTCCTTGGGGGAAATATTGTGTGCACACTATATAGACTGTTAACAGAGTTCAAGTTAGCCCTAACACATGGAACACTAAATCTAGTCTTTGGGCGTAGATGCTCTTGAGTATTTCTGGCGACATAAATAATTACCAGAAATGGAGAACCCATTCAACAAGGCACCAGTGGTCTAGTGGTAGAATAGTACCCTGCCACGGTACAGACCCGGGTTCGATTCCCGGCTGGTGCAAATTGTTTTTGTGTAATACACACAATTTACCCTTCTCTGAGTCTACTGCAGTGCGTGCACTTGGACAGGGGGAGGCTGGAACCTGAAATTATTCTTTTTTGCTTTTTGCCACCGTCTTGTCTCTGTACAGAAAAGGATCCTATGCGCATCACTTTTTGCCTGATTTGATTCAGGAGAAATTCCCGCTTCATCTCACACTACGACCGTCACAGCATGAGGCCAAGACTACACGAGCATCTCCCCGTTTCGGGTCTCCGAAAGGTCCTCCATCGCGTAGCAAAGAGCAGAAGTGGTCACGGCTGACCAGCTTGGCTAATGGCTACCACTAACTGTCAACAGAAACGGAACAGTTTGCTTGTGTTTGAAGCTGCCAAGCTGGTGTACCTCACTGGGCATCAACTACTCGTCGGTTCGATACCCACCCAGCTAGAAGTACTCCTACTGCTGTTGGTGTACCGTCAGTTAGTTGTTAATTAACCAGCTGGACACGGCAGGACCGCCAGCCAGCCAGCCTTTGCGTGGCTTCCCCGAGCAAATCTCGACCGGAGAGATCGGGCGCCTGGTGCCACGTGCGGGCCTGCGCTAGCTGCATCGCCGCACAGTAGTGGCGCCTGGTCCGGGTTGGTTGGTGAGATATGGCTGTCGACGGGACCGGACGGCCTATCGTCGTCGGCGGGGGAGCGTGACACAGCGTAGCAAGACGACGCGGCGGCGCGTGCCGACATGTGCAACACGCTCTCTCTGGCTCAGACGCGGCTGTTTCTGTCCGCGAGTGCGAGTGCGAGTGCGGGCGCGTGGTCCAGACATTTGAATCGCCAGGCATGCAGGGGCGTTTTGGGGAGCCGCGCCCGGCGCAGGCAACGGACGAATAAACCCAGCCCGGCAGGACGCCGGCCATCTGGGCCGTTCCACGCGACCCCTGTCCCTCCTCGGTTCATACTTGCCTGGAGAAACCAAAACGAAAACGAAAACCAGTGCTACTGCTCCAGAAAAAGCTTAGAAAACTAGCAGTAGATGAGATTTCGTGGAGAGGGAAAAACTGTGGTTCGTCCTGCAGTGCAGTACCAGCAAGACGAGTAGCGTGTGCGCGAAAAAGGGAAAAAAAATCCCGCTTCTTCTTCGCACGCAAAGCCTTTTCTTTTCCAAGAAAAAAAACTTTCTTTCTCCAGCGTCGCTAAAACGGACAGAAGCCGAAGCGCGCCCGCACCGACGTGGGCCCCACCGCTGGTCAACCCGGGCGCGTGCCGCGCGCCACGTCGCCCCCCACCGATCCAGCCGCCGCGCAATGACCCATACGCCCCTCTCCACCACCACCACTCCCCCCACCCCACTGCTCTTCTCTGCTTCCGCTTCGCCGTCCGTCCGTCCATCCACCACTGACCAGTCCACACCCCACCCCACGATCACTCATCCGTTCCGTTCCTCCTCTGCTCACCATCAACCCCTCATAAATTCTTCCTTTCTCGGTTCCTTGTCCCAGACCCAAACACACCAACGAAGCAACGCGTAGCCGGCCGATCTCCGAGTTAAATGCTGCCCCCTTTCTGACCCCTCCTTCCCTCTCAACCTCGGTCCCCGGCCGGCGTCGCCATTGCCTCCACTCTCTCTTTCTTCGCCGGATTCAACTCGACTCAAAAGCCTCGACGCTTTCCATACCCCCCTCTGTTTCGTTTCTTGCCTTTTTCGCTCCGGGAAGGAATTTCCAGCATTCACATGTGAGTCTCGCCCCTGCCCCTATCCCTTTCTCCCCCGTCTGTTGGTGTCACCAGGATCAGGATCAGATAGGAAAGCCCAGTCTCAGAAGAAACCGCGTCTGGTTTCCGTGCGCAATCCGCCATTGCCGTTTCTTGCAGCTCTCGCAGTCCGTCCCCCGATTTATACTCCCGCACTTCCTTCGCCGCCCGGGCCGACATTGTTCCCTGTTCGACTGAATCTCGATTCGATTCGATTCCCGCCTCCGTTCGGATCGGCAAATCTTGAGGCTTCCCCTGTTCCTGGATTCCCAAACCGTCGCATCGAGAGATCTTCTCCCTTCTTTCGTCCGTTCGCCGGAGAGCAGAGAGGCCTGTTCAATGGCGGCGGTGAATCTTGGAGCGTGGCTCTGCGCGCTGCTGGCGGCGGTGGCGGGCGTCCTCCCGGCGGCGGACGCGCTGGGGATGAACTGGGGCACGCAGGCCACGCACCCGCTCTCGCCCAGGATCGTCGTGCAGATGCTCAAGGACAACGGCATCAAGAAGGTCAAGCTCTTCGACGCCGACCAGGGCACCCTCAACGCGCTCGCCGGCTCCGACATCGAGGTCATGGTCGCCATCCCCAACAACCTGCTCGACCTCATGAACGACAAGGACAACGCCAGGGACTGGGTGCGCCACAACGTCTCCCGCTACCACTTCGACGGCGGCGTCAACATCAAGTGAGCCTTTTGAGCCCCTCTTCCTCTTGCATGCTCCAGTTCATGGAAGTCATGCGCCGCCGCCGCTCTAGTTCATGGACTACTTACTGATGATGTGATGTTCTGTTCTGTTCGCAGGTACGTGGCCGTCGGCAATGAGCCCTTTTTGGCCTCCTACAACGGCACCTTCGACAAGGTCACCTTCCCGGCGCTGCAGAACATCCAGAACGCGCTCAACGACGCCGGATTCAGCGAGATCAAGGCCACCGTGCCGCTCAACGCCGACGTCTACAACTCGCCCGCCAACAACCAGGTGCCGTCGGCGGGCCGCTTCCGGACGGACGTCGCCCCGCTCATGACGCAGATGGTGCAGTTCCTGGCCAACAACAGCGCCCCCTTCACCGTCAACATCTACCCCTACCTCAGCCTCTACCTCAGCGAGGACTTCCCCGTCGACTTCGCCTTCTTCGACGGCCTCGCCAAGCCGCTGGTCGACGGCGTCAACACTTACACCAACGTGTTCGATGCCAACTTCGACACGCTGGTGTCGGCGCTCGCCGCCGTCGGCCACGGCGACTTGCCCATCGTCATCGGCGAGGTCGGCTGGCCGACCGACGGCGACAAGCACGCCACCAACGCCCTCGCCAAGCGCTTCTACGACGGCCTGCTGCCGCGGCTGGCGGCCAACACCGGCACGCCGCTCCGGCCCAAACAGTACATGGAGGTCTACCTCTTCGGGCTCCTGGACGAGGACGTCAAGAGCGTGGCGCCGGGCGCGTTCGAGCGGCACTGGGGCGTGCTCCGCTTCGACGGCCAGCCCAAGTTCCCCATGGACCTCACCGGGAACGGGCAGAACACCATGCTGGTGCCGGCCAAGGGCGTGCAGTACCTGCCCAAGACGTGGTGCGTGTACAACCCCAACGCCGAGGACAAGAGCAAGCTGGTGGAGAACGTGAACTACGCCTGCACCTTCGCCGACTGCACGGCGCTCGGCATGGGCTCCAGCTGCTACGGCATGGACGTGAACGGCAACGCCTCCTACGCCTTCAACATGTACTTCCAGGTGCAGAACCAAAAGGACGAGGCGTGCGACTTCCAGGCGCTCGCCGTGCCCACGCAGACCGACCCCTCCACCGCCGCCTGCAGCTTCCCCATACAGATCGCCGCCGCCTCCTCGACGTCGGGTGGCCACCGGCGAGCGCGCGCCGGGCCGCTCGGCGCCGCCGCTCTGCTCGTGCTGCTGGCTCTGGTCCAGCTCTTGATGTCGCATTAGAGAATCAAACAGACTTGTTTTTCATCAGTTGATCATTTGTTGCCTCATAGCATATATTTTTTGGATCAGCAGTAGTTACTAGCAGTAATCCGGTACGAGTCTTTGTACTGGAGGCATATATACCGGAGGATATATGTTCAGATGGCATTTCACATGATGTTCAAACACTTGATGTGCTTGATGACTATGGTGTACAGTTCATTCAGAATCCCAGATCCAATGACCCAGTGATATTTCACAAAACATTAAAAAAAAATCTTGATGTGTTGTACTTGCTGATACAAGAATATATACAGTTGATTCAGAGTCCCAGATCTCGCAGCATGGCCATGGAGTATATACAAAGTGAGCAGGATTTGGTTGGCAATATAGTACTGCAGCACATGAATCCTGGATCCAGAATAACATGGTCTAGATGCACAACTTTTCTTTCAATGCAGGTCGGCAAAAAAGAAGAAAATGAATGCTTCCAATGCAGGCAGGTAGTGTGAGGTGACCCATTAACTAGTTTCTCAATAGGACGCAACCAGCCATGTGGAGGTCCATTATCTGCTGCTATTTTCAGTTTTTAACCACCTACCAAGGCAGAGCCTACAGATGATTATACCACTCCGTTGTTGATCAATACTGTACTTACTATGATAATGGAGATTATATCATTGTACTCATCAACAAGTACTACTATGTAATCTGTCGAAAAATAAACAAATCAGACACTCTGTTTTTCTCTGACAGTGATCTGTGCAGCAAACTACTACTACTGGTGGATCTTTTCTACAACATCCCTCTCCAACTCATAGTATAAAATGCACAAGTATTGCTGATTTGAACACATAACACACCGAAATGTACAATGATTTACACTAACAGGTGACCACGGAAACCTGCCAAGCCTTGAGCATATAACAGTTTAATCAGTTGAACTGCATACTGTTAAAGGATAAATATTTACATTCACATTATTGATATATGTAAATAAACAGAAGTGCACCTGTGCCAATGAATGTTCCTCCCACACAAACACCAACATTATACAGCCCTTGAAGGCGCGGCCAACCCGGAGCAATGGCCCATTGACGGCCGTCGGACGGGCATCGGTTGGTGGTGTTTGTCGAAGGCGGGTTCATCGGCAAAGTACATTCCAGGAGGATGGTAGACACACAATTCTCAAGTAAACCTGACGGACCAAGCATCATCATCATCATCATAGAGGAAATAAACGAGCTGGAGGGCTCCTGCAGCAGAACCTCCATCAGAATCTGGTGACCTTGTCAGCCTTGACCACGGGGTTCTGCTGGGCGATCTGCTCCCTGCCGGCCTGCTTGTAGTCGAACTTGCAATCGTGCGCGTCGGCGTAGCGGTGCATCGAGCAGAAGGTGTCTCCGCAGCGGCACTTGAACCCCGTCAGCCCGACCTTCTTCCGGCACGACAGGCAGCGGTTGCTCGGTGGCTTCGGCGCCTCCTCCTCGGCTACTTGTTTTCCTTCTTTGGCTGAGGCAGACGCTTCATCCTTGATCTCGGCCACCAATGGTGTGGGTGACGATGCAACAGCAGCGGCAGTTTTGTTCTCAACTAGAAGGGCCATCTTCTTGGCCTTGACAGTGTCTCGGTAACACTTCGAGCACATGTTTTCGGTCATCCGGTTGCCGAAGAAGCCACAGTTGTTGATGCACATTATCGGAGCCTCGGGCGCGTGGACACCCGTATCCTCTGCCTCTTTCCAACTCTCTTGCGCCATTTCTGCAGAACATCAATTTGCAGCTTCAGTATCCAGAACGGACAATCATTGACGAAGAAACTAGAGCATTATCAATATGACCAATGCACAAAATGATGTAAAGGAAGCTAAATGTCAGGTGGCCATCACAAATACTTGCCCTGCAATTGTCCTGAATATGATGAGCACTCATCCTAACCTACAGAACCAATTAGTAGTCTACTCCCATCATTCGGATTAGAGGTCATAGATAGGCACTGAGTACCATCAAACAAGCACCACAATTGTGGAAAGAGGGCCCGGCCCCCATACAGTCCCCAAGGCCCATGCACATGATCAAACCTTGATACAGAATTCTTCATTAGTATTTTCCTGATTAGGCTACTCCCCTTTTGAACAGGTATTCTCTAGAAATTTAAGTGCTGCTTTAAAACAAGCATAAATGTGTGACAGACAATCTAAAAATGCACATGATTCCCATATCTTGTATGGAGAAAATAGTACTGAACCAGCCCGGCAAACTGCACAAATGTCTTTCTGCGAGGTAAACCAAGAATAAGAATGAAGCAATCAAGTCGCTATTGATTTCTTATCCTTGTATGTGTTTACTCACCGAGAGACCTTGTGCGAATCGATGATCAATTGCTATGCTTGCCAAGAAACATACAGATGAATTTTCACTAATGATGAAGTAGTATTTATAGACAGTTTACTCGCCGCCATCTTTGTTGACATAGTATCCCCTTGAGTAAAGGAAAGGATCTTATTCTTATCTACGGCAGCGAAAACCGCAAGGAAGAAATCCTACCGGCTAAGCGTCTGCTTTGCAACCGAGGTTAAGAAACCTTGGGAAGGTCACAAGGCAGAAACAAAAAGATATCTTGCAATCCAAGGCAGGGCAAACATATCATTCATGTTGAAGTTTTCGTACACGGTTTTACTCGCCGCCTTGGCACCTATCCTATCTTGCATAAAGGGATATAAATCCTGTCTATGCAACGGAAAGTTGAATTTCCACGCTATTCGAAAGATTTCTGCCACAATCACTCCGTCCATCTTTGATGACATAGTATCCCCTTGAGTAAAGGGAAGGATCTTATTCTTATATACGGCATCGAAAACCGCAAGGAAGAAACCCCGCCGGCTAAGCGTCTACTACCTTGCAACTATCGGCAAGGCCAACGGCAGAAGCAATCCAGGTAGGCCTACGTGAATTCCCTTATCTGAACACTTATCCATTTTCTTTCTTTCATTTTCTTTTATTTTTGAAAAGAGGTGAACGACCCCTACCTCTGCATCGATTGATGCACACATCTCTAGAAACACTAATCCTCTATGGACGATCAACACTAATTACTCAATTCGCAGCTACACCGAAGTTTCAAACACAATCACTCGTCCATAATCATAATTTTATTTTCGATAACATCATCCATCACCATAACCACCGCAAATTTTGGCATGGTTAATCATCATCAGGCAACATAACGCACCAGACTATTGATGATGTAATAAACAAATCAGTCCTAGGTGGATGGCAGGTCACAGCCATGAACAATCAACGCATAAAACAAGCAATTGAATCAACCGGACCAGAGAATCCTATCTAAAACCAGGAACAGAGCAGCCAGACCGCAAAATCAACAGCAGCCGTACCAGCTTGTCCATCTTTGATGACATAGTATCCCCTTGAGTAAAGGGAAGGATCTTATTCTTATATACGGCATCGAAAACCGCAAGGAAGAAACCCCGCCGGCTAAGCGTCTACCTTGAAACCATCGGGAAGGCCAAAGGCAGAAGCAATCCAGGTAGGCCTACGTGAATTCCCTTATCCGAACACTAATCCCTTTTCTTTTCTTTCCTTTTATTTTCGAAAAAAGAGGGTGAACAACCTCAACCTCTGCACCAATCAACGCACACACCTATAGAAACACTAATCCTATATTGATGATCTAACAAACAAACCAATCCTAGGAGGATGGCAGGTCACAGCCATGAACAATCAACGCATCAGACAAACAATTGAATCAACCGGACCAGAGAATCCTATCTGCAACCAGGAACAGAGCAGCCAGACCTCATCAAAAGAGCAAAACCAACAGCAGCCGTAGCAGCTTGTCCATCTTTGATGACATAGTATCCCCCTGAGTAAAGGGAAGGATCTTATTCCTATCTACGGCAGCGAAAACCGCAAGGAAGAAATCCTGCCGGCTAAGCGTCTGCCTTGCAACTATGGTTAAGCAACCGCGTCAAGACCACAGGGCAGAAGCAATCCAGGTAGGCCTACATGAATTTTCCTATCTGAATTATTATTTTTTCTTTTCGGACACCGCCGGCCTCTGTATCGATTGATGCACACAGCCCTAAGAACCCTAATCCTCTACAGAGAACCAACACCAATTAATTTTTTCGCAGTTATAGCGAAGTTCCAAATAGAATCACTCATCCATCATCATAATTTCATTTTCGATAACACCATCCATCACCATGGTCACCGCAAATTCAGGCATGTTTGTTCGTCATCTCATCAGGCAACACACGCACCAGACCATCGATCCGAGAAACCAACCAATCGAACCTAGACGGATGGCAGGCCGCAGCCATGAACAACCATAGCGTCAAACAAACAATTCAACCGGCCAGACAAGAGAATCCTATCTAAAATCAGGAACAGAGCAGACAGACCTCATCAAAAGAGGAGGCGAAATCAACAGCGGCCGTACCTAGCGGGAGGACCGGGCGACCGATCGGAAACACGGAGGAGACGGCACGGCGGGGATCGGGTCCTCGCTCTCGTCGTTCTCCTCTCCTCGCCTCCCCTCCGCCTGTTCTTCCGGGGGATAGAATTCTGCTCTTGTTATTTTGTTGGCGTCCTTGTTGTTTTATGCGTGTCCCATTTCCTTTTGGGTGGCGTCGTTGGGGCCGGGCCGACATTAATTTATAAAGTTGGACTGCTTGCTGCGCGTAAAGGGCCCGGGGAAAAGGGGCCTTTCCGAACTGGACCGCGGCGTCGCTTTCCGTTCGCATTTTTTTTAATCGAGAAGAAAGTTGGCGACGGGGTTGTTGGGCTGGATTAAAGGGAAAATGTCGCACTAATTCGGTGGGGATTAGGAAGGAGCTGGGATGATGCTTCTGGACGCGCCGGCGAGGTCACACGGCGGACGACGCGACGCCGATGGAGGGCCTCGTGGCGCACCACGGACACTTGAGCCCTGCTGCAGCCGGATGATCAAAGTTCTCCGTTTGTTGAGAGAGTGAAAGGTGATGGTTGGCTTTGGGTACTACGTGTCTTGCTTAGTACACCTGATCGGACATGTTGCGGGGCAGAGTAGCGTCACCTTTTCAGATTTTTTTTGCCCGCCAATGATTTTCAGGTTTGCAAGTACGGAGATCGTTAATTGGAGTAAATTGCATTTAGCTTTTAGTATTAGTTTAGTCGTCGTATTCTGGAGATCTGAATCGAAGTTTGAGCAAATATTGATGATTTGCTAGTTTGGAGAAAAGCATGCAAAAGAAGTAAAAAAAGTTTGTCAGAACATATACAATATCCATTTTTTTGCCCCTTGCCTTCTTTTCTTACATCTAAGAGCAACTCTAACTAATCTCCTAATTTTTAGAGGAGTAAACCGCCGAGTATACTTTAGAGGTGCACATTTGCTCCTCTAGAAAAACGCTGTTTCTAACTGAACCTCAAAACTTAACGGAGCAAAAAAAAAAAATACCGAAAGGCACATAAACGCAAATTAGGTACTCCCTCCGTCCGAAAAAACTTGTCATCAAAATGGACAAAAAGGAATGTATCTAAAACTAAAATACATCTAGATACATCCCTTTTTATTCATTTTGATGACAAGTATTTTCGGATGGAGGGAGTACTAAACTAAAGTTCGAACTACCACATAAAACTTCCTAAAATGAATTTCGGTGCAAATTCAAAATATTTTACATAAAAATAACTAAAAATAATAATCAGATTAGGCTAGAATTTTAAACCTAGTCACTATCTGACTCTTCTTCGATACTCTTCCAATCCGCTCTGCTCAACCCTTCAATCATAGGGTTGGGGCCGTCGCCTTCGCCTTCTTTGTCGCTGGAGAGGCCATTGACATCTACCCTCCATGCCACGTACTCCGCGTACAGCCAACACTCTGCCTTGACACACTCATGGTAGTGGCGGCGGAGCTCCATCATGTACACCTCGCCGGCTTGCTCCGCCGCGACACGCTCTCAGGCCTCTTGGTCTTCTCGCAGTCCTCCTAGAAGTAATTGCTTCCACACGGGCTGTCCTGGGATAATTCTAACAATCGTAGGAGGAGGTTAGAACGAGTCAGGATCTAGCTAGGCGCAAGTATGGCACAGATGAATTTTGGAAGGTTCAGAACCCTCTCGCAAGTGTAACAAGACCTATGTCTTGTGCTCTTGGAGCTTTCTTTCTGTCTGTGTGTGTCTGGATACAATGGAATGAACCCTTATCTATGTGCTATGGGATGGCTTATATAGAGTGCGTCCGACACTTACCTTCTGATGTTACAGGGAAAGTAATGGATTGCATTGACTTGGATTGCATTGATTAACCCACCATGAGGGGTAACTCACGAAAAAACACTAGTAACGTACTTCCTTCGTTTCTTTTGAGTCTGCATATAAGGTTTGGTCAAAGTCAAGCTTTGTAAAGTTTGACTAACTTTATATAAAAAATATCATCATTCACAATATGAAATTAATATTGTCAGATGCACCATGAAATGTATTTTCATACTATATAGTTTTAGTATTATAGATGTTCATATTTTTAATATAAATTTGGTCAAACTTTGTGTAGTTTGACTTTGATCAAATTTTATACGCGGAGTAAAAAGAAACTGAGGGAGTATGAGGCCTTGAATATTTTGGCGTTTCAGATGCTTCTCCTGACTATTCAACTATTGGAAATATGCCCTAGAGGCAATAATAAAATAGTTATTATTATATTTCCTTGTTCATGATAATTGTCTATTGTTCATGCTATAATTGTATTAACCGGAAATCGTAATACATGTGTGAATACATAGACCACAATATGTCCGTAGTGAGCCTCTAGTTGACTAGCTCGTTGATCAATAGATGGTTGTAGTTTCCTAACCATGGGCATTGGATGTCGTTGATAACGGGATCACATCATTAGGAGAATGATGTGATGGACAAGACCCAATCCTAAGCATAGCACAAGATCACGTAGTTCGTTTGCTAGAGCTTTTCTAATGTCAAGTATCATTTCCTTAGATCATGAGATTGTGCAACTCCCGGATACCGCGGGAATGCTTTGGGTGTATCAAACGTCACAACGTAACTGGGTGGCTATAAAGGTGCACTATAGGTATCTCCGAAAGTGTCTGTTGGGTTGGCACGAATCGAGACTGGGATTTGTCACTTAGTATGACGGAGAGATATCTCTGGGCCCACTCGGTAATGCATCATCATAATGAGCTCAATGTGACTAAGGAGTTAGCCACGAGATCATGCGTTATGGAACGAGTAAAGAGACTTGCCGGTAACGAGATTGAAGAAGGTATAGGGATACCGATGATCGAATCTCGGGCAAGTAACATACCGATGGACAAAGGGAATTGTATACGGGATTGATTGAATCCCCGACATCGTGGTTCATCCGATGAGATCATCGTGGAACATGTGGGAGCCAATATGGGTATCCAGATCCCGCTATTGGTTATTGGTCGGCGAGGTATCTCGGTCATGTGTGCATGGTTCCCGAACCCGTAGGGTCTACACACTTAAGGTTCGGTGACGCTAGAGTTGTAATGGGAATAGTATGTGGTTACCGAAGGTTGTTCGGAGTCCCGGATGAGATCCTGGACGTGACGAGAAATCTGGAATGGTCCGGAGGTGAATATCGATACATTGGACGAAGGGTATTGGAGTTCGGAAGTGTTCCAGGGGTACCGGGCTATGCCAGCATGACCGAAAGGTGTTTTTGGGGGCCCCGACAGTGTTGCAGGGCCTCATGGGCCAAGGGGAGGGGGCAAACCAGCCCACTAAGGGGGTGTGCGCCCCCACACCTTTTCCCACGTTGCTTGGGGAGGTAGGGCGCCTCCACTTGGCTTGGGAGGCAAGCTTCCACCTGCTTGGCTTGGGAGGCAAGTCTCCATAGGGTTTCCCTAGGGAGATCCAATCTGCCCTAGCCACCGCCCCCTAAGGGAAACCCTAGGGCGCCTCCTCCGCCCCTTCCCCCTATATATAGTGAGGGAGAGAGAGGGCAACCGCACCCTAACACACCCTGCTGCTGCCCTTCCTCTCCTTCCTACACCTCTTCCTCCTCCGTAGTGCTTAAGCTCTGCCGGAGAACCACGAGCTCCATCATCACCACGCCGTCGTGCTGCGGAGTTCTCCCTCAACTTCTCTTCTCCCCTTGCTGGATCAAGAAGGAGGAGACATCCTCGGTGTTGGGGATATGACTATTGGGTATGACCCGCTCAGGTGGGGGCAGGTTATACCTACGGCGGTTCATCAATACAAAGCCCATGAGGATGTCGAAGATGGCGGTTCATGAAGCAAGGGCCTAAAGCCCAAGGGCGACTTAGGGCCCATAGGTGTAAACCGCCATATGTGTATGACTTATATTGTAAGGCAAGTGTATTTAGTCACCGAGCCGGACACGTTGTCTATGAGCCGGTCGGGACTCCGTGAGCCATTGGGCGTCAACCTGTGTATATAAAGGGACGACCCAGCGGCAGTTCGGGGGAAGGAAAACAAGAGATCGAAAGCTAGGTCAAGCGGATCCGCTCCCTGGTAATCGAGACATAATCAATACTACCTCAAACTGGATTAGGCCTTTACCTTCACCGCAAGGGGCCGAACCAGTATAAACTCTCCGTGCCCTTTGTCCCGTTTAACCCCTTTAAGCTAACCTAGTTGCGATGGCTCCACGACTAAGTCCTCACACTAGGACATCTTCCGTGACAATTCCATGACAGTTGGCGCCCACCGTGCGGCCGGCACACGGTGGTTTTGAGTTCTTAAAGGGCAGCTTCGAAGGGATCAAGGGATACACTCTGGGCCGAATGACCAAGAGTCGTCGCGCCAAGCTCTACATCGACGATGCAGGCTGGGGACCCGAGGTCGGCTCAATTGAGTACGGTTACCGGGTTCTCTTCGGCGGAATCCACGTCTTCATCGGTAAGATCGGCGAACCGGGCCCTGAGCCGGACATCTGCACCGACATCATCGAGACGGCTCAGCGTGCACGACCTGCCCGAGTTTAGCCCGCCATGAAGCGTGCCTTCGTCGGATTTGTCCATGGGGCAGAAGTTGAGGACAGATCTGTGTCTAATGGTGAGATGGCCATCTATTCTGATGGTGAGCCGTCCACGGGCGAAACCACTTTAGTGTATCAACAGCAAGACGGCGGGCTTGGCGGCTATTCCAATGGTGACAGTATTCCGGACCCCTATGAGCCGCCTGAGATACAGCCGAAGCGCCGACGTCAGCGGCGCCGCTCTAAGCCACGCCGTGGAAAAGACAACAATACTAGCACAGAAGAAAACAATACTCTCGACGACGCCGAAGACAATCAAGACCCCGTTAATCCAACTTCCGAACAGGACGAACGGGAAGATGGGTGAGTCAGCCCTAATGAATAGGTCATGAATGAAGACTCAGAGGACAGTAACTACCTTACGCCCTCCGAGGATGAGGTGAGCCTCGGCAACGAGGATTTTATCATGCCTAAGGAACCTCTCGAGCATGAGTGCTTTAAGCGCCAGCTAATAGCCACCGCAAGGAGCCTGAAAAAGAAGCAGTAGCAGCTTCAAGCTAATCAAGATCTGCTTAAAGATAGATGGACTGATGTCCTAGCAGCCGAAGAATACGACCTCGAGCGCCCAACCAAAAGTCACCGATGACCCACAAGTATAGGGGATCTATTGTAGTCCTTTCGATAAGTAAGAGTTTCAAAACCAATGAGGAGCAGAAGGAAATGGCAAGCGGTTTTCAGTAAGGTATTCTCTGCAAGCACTGAAATTGTAGGTAAC